CTGAGTCCTTACCAGTTGCCACGTGGAGGAGCAGGTCTGTGGTAGAATGAAGTGAAGGTGGTCTTTCGCCCATTTCACTTTGGACTCTGCAGTCATTCTTTGGAGTGGTTCCTTCACACCTGGTACTTCTTCTGATTCCTTATCCCTTTTGTGCCAGGATCTGATGTCTCACCTCATGTCAATAAATCATCAGTCCAGAGCATCCACTGAACTTGGAATCATTACCCTGAGCTTAAGAGGATTTAGGAGCTTGGGCCAAAGGGGACATATTTAACCCATTCTCTCTCGGCACAGTGAAGAAGCAAAAGCAGCTGAAGAAATCTGTATTTGATGAAGAACTCACCAACACGAGCAAGAAGGCCTTGAAGCAGTATCGAGCTGGGTAGGGTATAAGTCATCATGGTATTTATTTATTTTTTTTTAATCCTCACCCAAGGACATTTTTCCATTTTTTGTTCAGGTAGATTGGGAGGGAGAGAGAGGAACAGAGAGAGAGAGAGAAACATCGATGTGAAAGGGACACATCGAGTGGCTGCCACCCGCACGACCAACCAGGGCCGGGGACAAACTGCAACCGAGGTACATGCCCTTAGCGGGAACTGAACCCGGGTCTCTCGGGACCGCAGGTTGATGCTCTAACCGCTGAGCCAAACCGGCCAGGGCTCATCATGGTATTTTGATGAAAGCTATGAATCCTCTTTCTCCTTCCCTACTCCTAATTCTCATATACCTATAGCTTTATAACATATAATTTCAAGGGCTTCTGTCTGCCCACCCTCCCACCAGCCCGTCTGTGGATCCCAGGGTGACAACAGGAGGAAAAGGGGCCTATTGAGGCCCTATTGCCTTGGAGGTAAAATGGCACATTTTTGTTTCAGAAACAGAGCTTTTCCTCAGGAGAGTGATAGAACCCCAAAGGATCCTGGTTTGCTCTTGGGAGTGTATTGTCCACCCCTCCTCTTCCCAATCTCCTGGGACTGGGTTGGGGTGGGAACAGACTAAGCTTCCCAAGTAGTTTATTACATACATGGGAAGGGAGGGCAAGGCCTCTTCCAGTTTTGTTTTAAAGCTGGGCCTTGACTTCCACAAACTCATGTTATCAGACGGAAACACATACAGGCGGGGAACCTCAGGACCTGAAAATGATGCATCTGTTGATCCTGTTGCTTTGTGTGGGAGCTGGGTGGGGTGGGGGTGAGACCATCCGTTTTTCCAACAGCTTGCCACTTCATCGTCTCATCTTCTTTCACCTACAGTCCCTCCTTTGAAGAAAGGAAACAGTTGGGTATGCCCCACCAGAGACGAGGAGGAAACTTTAAATCTAAATCTAGGTAATGTTTCCCATGTTAGAGGACCAAAGGTTATGACTATTTGGTGTTGGAGAAGAAACCTTTCATGGGAAAGGAGCTTCTCCTTCCTCTTTCTGGCCTGGTGGGGGTTGGTCTTTTACTCTGCTTTATTAAAAATTAAATTTATTGGGGTAACATTGGTTAATGACATTATGTTTTAGGTGTATCATTTTATAATACATTTTCTGTATACTGCATTGTGTACTCATCACCCAGTATGTAGTCTCCTTCCATCACCATATATTTGACCCCCTCTGTTTTTCTTAATAGGTACAAGAGGAGAAAATAGCCGCGGTGGCCTGAAGAAGTTTGTAGGGTGGCCCTTAGATCCCTTCCTTGTGGGAAGTCATCCTGGCTTGATCTTTTCTCCATTTCTAAAAAAAACTCTTTAAAACTTGAAGAAGTCTGAGTCATTTGTACATTAAAATAGAGTCAGTCAGTCCAGCTGATGTGGCTCAGTGGTTGAGTGTCAACCCATGCACCAAGAGGTTGCCGGTTCGATTCCCAGTCAGGACACATGCCCAGGTTGTGGGCCCGATCCCCAGTGAAGGGCATGCAGGAGGCGGCCAGTCGATGTTCTCTCTCATCGGTGTTTCTGTCTCTCTCCCCCTCTCCTTTCCTCTCTAAAATCAATAAAGGAAAGAAAAAAAAGTCAGCCAAGGCTCTCTCTTGCTGGTTAGTTTTTACATAAAGAATATACTGAATGTTAGAAGTACTTTTGGATTGGGGGAAGAAGCCAATCTCATTGTATATTTTATTCCTGTCTCTACCCTCAACATCAGTGTGCCCCCATGTACTTGGAGTACTTCTTTGTGCCTGTAGAGATGTGGAAGAAATTCTTACTAGTTCTCTTCTGTTGATGTCCTAGAACTAAAAGCTGTCATTGTGTACCAGATAGTCTATGTACTGAGCACTGACTCATTTAATTCACTACATCCCTGAGGCACATACCATTACTCCCATTTTGCAGATAAACAGGCTTGGAGAGATGGAGTAACTTTCTATTGCACAGTTAGGAATTAAGGTTTTATTTTTTTAATCCTCACCAGAGGACTTTTTTTTTTTTGTTCACATAGAATGGGAGGGAGAGAGAGGAAGAGAGAGAGAGAGAGAAACATCAATGTGAAAGGGACACATCGAGTGGCTGCCTTCTGCACCACCCCAACCAGGGCCAGGGACAAACTGCAACCGAGGTATGTGCCCTTGGGAGGAATTGAACCCGGTCTCTCTGGACCGCAGGCTGATGCTCCAACCGCTGAGCCACACTGGCCAGGGCAGGTTATTTTTTTTCTTTATTGATTTTTAGAGAGAGAGGAAGGGAGAGGGAGAGAGGGATAGAAACATTGATGAGAGAACATTGACCAGCTGCCTCCTGCATGCCCCCCACTGGGGATTGGGCCCATAACCTGGGCATGTGTCCTGACTGGGAATTGAACCGGCAACCTCTTGGTATATGGGTCAATGCTCAACCATTGAGCCACACCGGCTGGGCGGGAATTCAGGCTTTTGAAACTAGAGTCTACCTAGCTTCATACCATAACTCTTCACTATGGTGTAGAACTGCTAATGGAGATGGAAACTCAAAGGGTACGGGAATCCCCAGATACACTGGCTCCTTGTTGCAAAAAAAGTTTTTACCCCGTAGAATGATGGTTCTCGCCTTTTCCTGAATCACAGATCCTTTTGAGAATTAGATGAAAGCTATGAGGCACCTCTTGAGAAAATTTAGTTTGTCATACAATTTCAGAGTACATAGGACCCATCCCTCCCCAGCTAAATAATTATGTTATCTAGCAGCACATACCCTCAACATTGAAGAATGTGCTAAAAGCTATTCAGGCTGCACCTAACATTTGCCAAGAGGGTTCTAATTCAGTTAATAATGGCACACCTGTATGATGGAATGCGGTTCGGACTTATTGTATGTGTACAGAAAGATCCCTAAGTTAGGTCATTAGGCTGGGGAAAAAAAGTCAAGTGCAGAACTGTACTTTTCTCTTAAAGGCTACATATTACATATACATAATCTCTGGGAGGACTCATGAAGCTATTTTTTTTTTAAATTTATTTTCCTCGTAGATTTTAGTGAAGAAGGGAGAAGGGGAGAGAGACACACATCAAGGAGAGAGAACATCGCTTGGTCACCTCCAGCACGCCCCCCACTAGGGATCGGGCCCACAACCTGGGCATGTGCCCTGACCAGGAATTGAACCAGTAACCTCTTGGTGCATGGGTTGACACTCAACCAACTGAGCCACACTGGCCGGTCTCATGAAGCTATTAAGGTTGCCTCTGGGAAAGGAAACTTCAAGTATATATATCCTTTTTGTACAGGTTGGAAAAACTTACCATGAAGAAAAAATGACTCCCCAGTTACATAAAAGTCCCAAACCACAGAAAGGAATGTGCCTTCATTCCCATCCTCATTGTCTCAAGCCACCTGAGCTGCTGGTAATATGTGAGAACAAACACAGACCAGTGATTTCTTGCAATAATTTTTATTAATTAGCTTCATAGGCTAAAGTGCATAGTAGACAAAAAAGGAAGTGCATACATAGGAAAGATGGATTTCTTACATTAGAAAGACCTGAGAATGCCTAAGTGTCTTCTAGGGGACACTGGACAGAGGGAATATGTATACAGGAGGCAGGCTGGGGGGCTGGCCTCTGGCATGGGTTGGGGGCCTGCAGAAGCTGCTGGCATGCTAACCCAGCCCAGGCAAAAGCTGCAACAGACAATGTTGGAATAAAGGGCCACACTTTGGATTGGGGCTGCTGGTAACAAATATGAGTTTAATTCCACTCTGGACCCCAGGGAACCAGCACTGCTACTGAACCTTTCGTGTTATAGGCAAAGAAACTTCCACCATTCCAAAGTACAAGTCACAGGAAAGGATATAGGGATCACTCCTTAGGTTAGCCTGGGCTTCTTGCATTAGCCCCCAGGTGTGGGTGGGTAGTCACACTTTCCATATTCTCAGTGAATATGTAACTGGGTCAGGGCTAGTCAGTGAAGTCTGTCTTAATCACATGCCTCCAACTCTTGGAGTGAGGGTGCCCAAGGAGAAGGGCAAGAGGGATTCTTGTGCTCCTTGAAAGGATAAGCAGTTCATAAACAACTCCTCTGGGCCTCTGTTTATTAGAATGAGTCTGCTTCACTGAGCTCAGTGACCCCAGAACACTGCAGAAAAAACATCTGACCAAGTCAGGCCCCAGAGAGACGATTATGTAGCCCTGGTGGAAGCTCCAAACATACTCCAGAGAGTCTGACCTGTCCACTAACTTGCAGGAGAGAAAAGGAGAAATCTGTTAACCTTGCTCTCAGGTCTGGAAGTAAAGTGCTTGCTCTAGCGCAGGGGTTAATCTAGAAACAAATGTGGGCAAGCCCTAAAAATGGATCCTTAAATAGGTGCTAAGACTAAAGGACAATTAAAAACAAATTCCGGCCCTGACCAGTTTGGCTCAGTGGTTAGAGTGTTGGCCCGTGGACTGAAGGGTCTTGGGTTTGGGTCCCGATCAAGGGCACATACCTGGGTCGCAGGTCTGATCCCCAGGCCTGGTCAGGGTTGTGCACGAAGCAACCAATCAGTGTGTATCCCTTGCATCGATGTTTTTTTCTCTCTCCCACCCCACTCCCTTCCACTCTATCTAAAAAATTGATGGAAAAATATCATCAGGTGAGGATTAACCAGAAAAACACAACAACAAAAAACACACACACACAACAAACTTCAGTTCCTTCATAAGGGAGATAACTCCAGCCTCACAGTGGCCAGGGCAAAAGACAGCGGTGTGCCATCTTCCTACATCATCCTCTGGATCTCTTCAAAGTTCATCAAGTTGTTGGCTGTCTCGGACCAGGCAGCATGCTGAGCTCCATCCATCTCAGAAGCAAGCTGGTTACTACTTTCCAGAGTATGATTCATGCCTCCAATCACTTCCTTACATTCAGGACATGTGCCCCTCTGCATGGCTCCTCCACAATCACCAATCACATAGATGTGGCCATTGCGGCATTTGAACCAGTGGCCACGAGGTAAACCCATGGCTTGGACGATCTGTACACGCTCTTTCTCTGAGATGCCCAGGCCAGAGCAGGGAAGGGTGGCTTTCAGAGCTTCCATTTTTTTTTGCACAAGCTTTTCATCTTCCTGGGTGAACTTACATGTTCTCTCAAGGAGCTTGCGGACACTGCAGATCTCTTCTGCTATGGTACCACTCACTTTCCCCTTCGCCATCTTGCAGCGGGTCAGGAGGTTCACCAGGTATGTGAGCCTCTGGATTTCACTTTGGAGGTCATTCAATTCTTGGCTGGTAAAGCTCAAACGCTTCTTGGCTAGCCACTCATGGACCTGGTCTAGTCGAGTCCTCACTTTCCCTTGTTCTGAGAAATCCACCTTTTTCAGGAAATCATACAGTACAGCCAAGTGATCATAGAAGCTGATGTAATTCTCTACAAGGCTCAGGTCCTTCACTGACAGATTTTTCTGACCCAGTTTCTCTGTTAACATTAGGAAGTCTTCAGGAAGCAGCTGGGAAAGGAGGCTTTTCCCCTCCAGTAGGGCCTTAAGACGTTCCCGGCTGGTTGCAATTTCTCCTGCTGAGCCCTGGATCTTTTGTTTAACTATTTCAATCTCTTCCAGCCGCTGTTTGATGCTGGTTCCATACCTCAGGTTTTTGCGGATGGGCACCTGGCAGATAGGGCAGACTTTCAACCTGATGGCAACTTCATCATCCTTCTGCTCATTCATGTAGCGGTCCAGGGCCTGCACCTCAAAGATGTGGCTGCAGTCTTCCAACTGCACAAAGCGGGCATCAGGCTCATCCTCAAAGCCAAAGAAGATTTGGGTGACTTCCTCCTGGTGGCAGACACGGCACTTCTTAGGGCATGGCTCCCCACACAAACCAATGCAAGGGTGGCCACAAGCCAGCGGCTTAGAACAAGGCACGTGGCATGGGGGTCGGTTGCAGGGCTCAGAGCAGAGTTTGGTGCACCGGTAATGCTGGCAGCGCCAAACACAGGGTTCTACACAGGGGCTGCACAGTTCCCCACATTTCTTCTTGCATTGGCTGTGGACACAGCGGTTCTGACAGGTCCGCTGGCAGGGCGGGCACTCGCCGACGCATGGCTCCTGGCACTTATGTGAACAGATGAGCAGACGTTTGCAGGGCTGCTGACAGTGCTCATGAAAGCGCCCTTCAAAGCAGCTGTGGCAGGAGCCAGGGCAAGGATGCCCACAGTCCAAGACGGCACCACACTTGGTGGTGCACTTGACTGGTAGGCCATACATGATGTCTTCCACATTACCGCACTTCACTTGTTGATTGTGCCCACACTTCAGTTTCACGGTGACCATTTCTGAACACAACCGCACACACATCTCACCACAAGGGTTGCTGCATCTGTGCCCACATTTCAGAAACTTGGGGCAAGGCTCTTGGCAGCAGAATTCTGATTCACGCATGGAACAAGGGACCATTTGTTCATGGCCACATCGAAGAATGATTTTGGGTACCTTCACCTGACAAGGCTGACATTCCTGGAAGCAAATAAGAGGGCACCGATGCCCATCTTGGCAGATGACCTTCTGGCATGGCTTCATACACTGGAACTCCTTGTGCAAGGAGTCATAGGGGTGGCAAGCACGGGTGCAGACGTGCCCACAGCCCAGTCGGAACTCACAGGGTAGGCTACAGCCTCCTTCGGGCACTTTTTGGAAGTCAGCAGCTTTGGATACTAAAGAGTAGGTATCAGGGTGGTTCTGGCAGCACAGCTGGAGAGTTTGGCCAATTTGATTGTTCTCTCGAAGGGTATGGATAATCTTGCTCCACAAGGGAACTTTGGCCAGCATCTGCATGTTTCCAATGCAGTACATACCCTTCTTGGCGCGGGACAAGGCCACACAGATGCGGTTGGGTATCTGGAGAAAACCCACCTTGCCTTCCAGATTGCTCCGCACTAGTGAGAGGAGAATGATGTCATTCTCTTCTCCTTGGTATTTGTCTACCACATGGACCTTGACACCAGCAAATGTCTTAGCTGGCATGAGTCTGCGGAGACAGAACAGCTGCCCAGTGTAGGTGGTGAGGATGGTGATCTGGGAGGGCAGGTATTCCTGGCACAGGAAGTACTTGCAGAGCTCCACTACAAAGTGAGCCTCATGCTGGTTCTGGTGGCTTTTGCCTTCTTGAATTTCCTGTTCAGGAAAGTTGTGTTCTACAAAGAAAAGGTTGGAAGAAACCCCCTGGAAAGAAAAAAAAGTGACATGTTAGAAAGTTCACTCATGGCAGTTTTTTCTTTCTATTTTCACATTTGTTGGCTATTATCCTGTTCCAGAGAGGGAGAGAGAGACCTTGAAGGCCTTTTATATACACTGTACCACAATCTTTAATTCCGTAGTAACCATGTGTTTTGTTTTGGGGCATTGGCAAATAGTGAAATGGATATAGAATTTATGTCTATTTTAGTTTCCAAGATATCTGTTTGATATTAATATTTATAATGGCCATCCACAATCCAAATGTTATAGCTCAGGGAATAAGCAGCAGCTATGATGATGAAAAGAGAGAAGTTAACTTATGAGCACTCTACTGTGTTGACTGCTTTACATACCTTATCTCCTTCAATCCAATAACATAATGAGGCAGCGGCCATTATACTCACTGTACAGAAGACCCTAACATTTAGAACTGGTATATAACTTGGTAAAATGTTACACAGCTACTAAGTGGCAGAGCTGTGATTCAAAACCCAGGTCTATATTCTCCAATTCTGTAACATTCCTCCTCTTAAAAACCAGCTTTATTTTTTTTTATCCTCACCCGAGGACATTTTTCATTTTTTGTTCAGATAGAGTGGGAGGGAGAGAGAGAGAGAAACATTGACGTGAAAGGGACACATCGAGTGGTCGCCACCCGATGATCCAACCAGGGCCGGGGACAAACTGCAACGGAGGTACATGCCCTTAGTGGGAACCGAACCCGGGTCTCTCTGGACCGCAGGCTGATGCTGTAACTGCTGAGCCAAACCAGCAAGGGCAAAAAACCAGCTTTTTAAAAAGCTGGCTCTATTCCCTTCTGAAAACTCTTATTTGTCCTGAGGAAAATACAGCCTTCTAGGTTGCTGACAGCAGCAGCAGATCAGGTAGGGCAGACTCACCTTAATCTTCTCATATTTGAGAACAGAGGGATGATTCTCCAGATCCTGGTAAATGTGAGGGGTCAATAGCCGGGCAATTTCAGGGCGCATGCGGTGCTGAAATAGGACATGTATGACATTAAGAACTTAGACAGAGTATAAATGCAGTTTTCTAAAGACTAGGTTCCTGATGGAAAATCTGGGGAGGTAACATATGAGAATAATAGGGAGAAAAGAGCAGAATGTAAACAGCTCCTTCATCCAACACAAACTCAATACCAGCTGATCTTGTGATATTTTAAAACAGAAAACAAAGTAAGTCTGAGAGTCATTTCATCACTAAACCAGTTTTATTTTTATGAGAACTTTCTTGCTGGCAGTTGGTAGGCTCCCAGGAGCCTTCTCCTAGACAATTCGTAGTAACAGACACCCAGCTTCTCACCTGGTAATTCAGACGGACAAAAGGAATGTTTACTTTCACCAGCCGTTCAAAGAGGGACACCTCAAGGTTGAAATTCTTGGCCAGATCATATACATTGGCACTGGGGCGCAGCTGAGAAAAGAAACATGGCTGAAACTTCTCTATTAAAAATATATTTTATCCATTCATTCATCTACCCACTCATCAAATTTTTTTTTTTTATCCTCACCCAAGGATATTTTTCCATTTTTTGTACAGATAGAGTGGGAGGGAGAGAGAGGAAGGGAGAGAGAGTGAGAAACATCGATGTGAAGGGACACATCGAGTGGCTGCCACCCGCACGACCAACCAGGGCCGGGGACAAACTGCAACCGAAGTACGTGCCCTTAGCGGGAACCGAACCCGGGTCTCTCCGGACCGCAGGCCGACACTCTAACCGCTGAGCCAAACTGGCCAGGGCTCAAATGTTTTTTTAAGTGCCTTCTATGTGCCAGACACTGCTGTAGGTGCTAACAGGCTAAGGATAGAGAGTGACAAGGGCCACAAAGGCAAGAAATAATGGTGATGTGACAGAGTGCCCAGGGGTGCAGGTTCTTTAGCAAGGCCTCTCTGAACAGTGACATCTGAGTTGATGCCAGAATGGAAAAGGTTGCCAATTATTCAAAAAGTAGGCCATGAGCCTGGCTGGTGTGACACGAGGATTGAGTGTCGTCCCATGGACTGAGAGGTCCGGGTTCAATTCCCAGTCAGGGCACATGCCCGGGTTGTGGGCTCCATCCCTAGTAGAGGATGTGCAGGAGGCAGCCAATGAATGTTTCTCTCTCACATTGATGTTTCTTTCTGTCTCTTTCCTTTCCTCTCTCTCTAAAAAAAGAAAAAAAAAATCAATAAAAAAACCTATTAAAAAAAAATGTAAGCCACGAGAGGGAGCAGGAAAGACAGCGGGCGGGGGGGTGGGGGGGTGGGAGTGGACCATAGTGTGCAACTGAGATGCTGGTATGAGGTGAAGTCAAGAAGCAGGCTGAATCCTGAGAATACTGTAGGCCACTTTAAAAACCTTGATTTTTACATTAAGTGCAATGGGAAACCACTGGAGGGTTTTGAGCTGGAAGTGACATAATCTGATTTACTTTATTTATTTTTTTGGTTAATCCTCACCCAAGGATATTTTTCCATTGATTTTTAGATAGAATGGAAGGGAGGGAGGAGGAGTGAGAGATAGAGAAACTTTGATGTGAGAGACACATTGATTAGTTACCTCCTGCATGACCCCACCATGGCTGGGGATTGAACCTGCAAACCCAGGTATGTGCCTTTGACCCTTCGGTCCAAGGGCCAATGCTCTAACCACTAAGCCAAACCAGCCAGAACATCAGATTTACTTAAAAAACAAAACACTCACATTGGTACCTTTGTTAGGAATGGATTAGAGGGTGGCAAAAATGGAAGCAGGGGGACAGGAAGGAAACAGTATTGCAATAGTTCACTTAAAAGGCCATGGCGGATAAGAAAAGTAGCAGAGCAAACAGATGAAATGGATGATGCTACTTCTAAAATATATCCCCAAATCTGAGAGTACCTACTCTTAGATTAAACATAGGAGGTAAGGGGAAGAGGAATTACAAAAAGCCATTAACAGGCTTGAGCACTGGTGAAGAGGCCAGGGTCTTCCTTACTGACTCCATCCCCAGTGATTGATTCTACTGCCCTACCTGCTGGTGGTCCCCAATCAGAATGAGATGCTGGCAAGCTTTGCTCAATGTGGCAATGGTGTGGGCCTCAAGAACTTCGGCAGCCTCTTCCACAATGACAATCCGAGGCTCTACCTTCTGCAAAATCTGGCGATATTTCGCAGCACCTCAAGTCAAGAGAGAAGAAAGAGGCTCCGCTGAGATGATGCACTGGATCTACCAGGCCACTAGGTTTCTAGGTCTGTGACAACCAAGCCCTCACATTCACCCTGTGCTATGGTGACTACTGGTGAGAGAACAAGTGCTGCTGGATGGTCACCAGAGCATCATACCCATGTTGGTCGTCATTGGGGTTCTAAATGCAACTGAAGAAAGTGGGTGAATTTCACCAACAGTTCCCTAAATATAGCTTGCTTGCTTTCAGTAGCTTTTCATGGTATTTTCCCCTAACCTACTAAAGAAGCTACTCTTTACCTGTCCTAGATAATCTGATAGGAGCTTGGCTCCAGGAGTGAATATCTGGAGCAGGTCAATTTCCTCTTGTTTTCTTACCTGTGGTCGTCATTCCTATGACCTGGGCATCTTTTAGAATGTGCAGATCTTCCTGAAGCCTCAGCTCTGCCATTCTCTCTGCTGATGTGTGGTACTGGTGCTCATAGCTGAGGATCTTTCGGCGGGTGTCAGCCTGGTACCTCTGTAGCCACAGCCTGAAGAACGGGAAGAACCAGGTAGAGGGAGCTGTGTGCTCCTGGAGTGTGCCCTATGTATGAAGGGGACCACTGAGGAGCTTACAGGCCACTGAGAAAAGGAAGGAGAGACCCAAATGTTCAGGAACCCAAGAGTCCAAGATGCCCAACAAAAAGATATGTAAAGATGTGTATACAATAGTGGTCAGGAGCTAAAGAAGGGGGTGGGATAAAGAACAGAGGTTGAATATTGGAAAGAGAGTAAGGGACTTCACAAACTTCAAGAAGAATTTTGCAAAACTGTTCCTGCCCCATCCCTGGCTGAGTCTTTTCCCCTCCCCAATTCTGCAGTCTTCTTTTACAAGTAAAACAGACCATGTCACTACTCTGCTGTGAAATCTTCCAATGGGTTTTTGACACTCTTCAGATGAAAGCCTTGCTCCTCACCTTAGCCCTACTAGGCCCACAATGTCTGGCCCCTGCCCACCTCTCTGACTTGAATCTCCATTTCTCTCTGTGCCATAGCCATGCTGGCTGCCTTTTTTCAAACAGATATGTTCCCTCCCTTCTCAAGGTCTTTACCTATGAGGTCCCCAATGTCTAATCTGTTCCCACTTCCCTGCTGGCTTTATTAATACCTACTCCTCTTTCAGATCTTGCCTCCAATGTCATTTCCCTGGAGACCTGGGAACAGCTCAGATCCCACATTAATATTAGCACTCCTTGTTTTTTTTTTCTTTCTTTATTTTAACTGTTGACACTATTTCAGATGTCCTCATTCCCCCCAACCTTTGCCCACCTCCACCTAGTCCCTGTTCCCCTTTCCTCTGGCCACACTCGCACTCCTTGCTCTTTTCTTTCTTAGTATTTATGTCTATCTGTAACTTTTTATTTGTGGAATTGACTAATTTGTCTCCTTGGATAGACTCTAAACTCCATGAGGAGGGAGAGCCAAGTGTCTTCTATTCCATGGCTGTATCTCCAGCAATCAGCTCAGTGGGGTGGCTCAATCTATCATAAGTTAACACTGTTGAAGGCCTGGGGAGGTTATATTCTAGGAACAGAAAAGGAACCTTCTAGAAATTACATGGCCTGGCTGGTGGATATGGGGGTGGGAACAGTACCTATAAAGCTGCCAGCGAGAATTCAGGTCCAGCTGCCAAACATCCTGGATTTCATTGGCCTTGGCCTCGGTCATGGCGTTCAGTTTGCGAAGCTCATCCTTCACTTTCTTCTTCATTTTCTTTTTCTGGCTACGCTGAGTCTGTAGACATCAATACCAGTCAGGGTCACCATCTGAGCAGAGGTTCTAAGTCATAGGTGGGGATCACAGCACATAAAAAAATGGGGCTGCCACCTCTGATTAACTTTTTTTTAAAATCCTCACCCGAGGACATTTTTTGCATTTATCTTCAGCTAGAGTGGGAAGGAGAGACGGGGGAAGAGAGAGAGAGAAACATCGATGTGAGAGAGACACATCGAGTGGTTGCCACCCACACGACCCCAACTGGGGCCAGGGACAAACTGCAACCAAGGTACATGCCCTTAGCGGGAACTGAACCTTGGCCTTGCTGGTCCACAGGCCAATGCTCTAACTGGCCAGGGCTGATTAACTTCTTTAAGTGTCTCACACTCTCTCAAAAGATATTCCATTGCTGAGTGGCTAAATGAGGACTCTGGGGCCAGTGTGCCTGGATTCAAAGCCCTATTTACCTCTGATTAGTTGTAGGCCCTAGAGTAAGTTACTGAAACTCTATGAGCCTCAGCATTCCTTCTATAAAATGGGAATAGTAATAGTTTCTCATCACAGGGCTGTTGGATTGATTAAAGGAGTAAATACATGGAAAACACTTAGAATAGTGCTGGTACCAGTTATCACTGAACATCTATGGACCACAGTTCGTTTCTCATTCCTAAAACATGTGTCATGAAAGTAGTGGAGGTGAGTCTTTCTTGTTGAATGCCTTAGATGGTCTTAGCACCATTGTATCATGATAGTGCCTTTAACAAGTAGGTTAAAGGCACCATTTTGGAGAAAGTGCTCTCCCCTGGATGGGTCACTGAGTCTAAGGCCATGAGCCATTAGAACAATTGGCATGCAAGACAAATGTCACAATATTATGGACTTCACCCTACTTCAAAACCAAAGAAACTCCTCTTGAGGCCACATGGTAGAGAGATGCCCAGGCCATGTTTCAAAGTATTGGGATCCATCATATATAGTGATGCTGAACTGAACTAAGAGATCAGTTTCAAAGTCATCAGACTGGTGAAAATTGCATCTAAAGATAGCGTTGAAAGTCCTTCAAATCACCAGTGGGGTTCGGAAAATGTTACTTTGAGTCTCCAGTCCTCTAGTATAGTAACACATACTAAATTCTGAGGACCACTCGTTTCTACCAAAGGAAGGAGCAGAGGGAAAGTCTGGGTATTCACACTATTCTGGCTTTAAGAGAAATATTCAATTCCAAGGTGAATGAAGTATTCCATCCCTGTATGGCTTGCTTCATTCCGTTTTACTTGAATCCTCTAAAATCTTAATGCATGTTCAGACGTGTTTGTAGTTTCTAGTTTGTAGAAGATAACACCCATGGAAGCACCAAGCACTAAGACCATAAATTTTTTATCTGACCCGTATGTGCTGCATGTTTCTGAAAGTTCAAGGGAAGCACTTGGCTATCTGCTTACTGTCTTTTTAAAATGGCATTTCTTGCCAGGGCTCCTCTGAAGGGCCATGATTTTTATATTCTTGGGAATTAGACTCATACTATACTAGGGTATGGTTATAAAAGGGATAAATTCTGCTAATTGTGAGGATGAGGTGAATACACTGCAACAAAAGTGGGTAAAAAAAAAGGGGGCTACAGTTCTGATCAAAACAGATGTTCTCAGGCCTATTTCAGTCTAGCCCCCACCTGCCAGGCAGTAATAAATTAAATCCCATTTCACATTCTGTTAGGACTTTAAGGTAAGTGAGTTTACCTCCCACTCTCCTGCGGCTTGTTCCTGCCCAGCTGCTGTCCCAGGGCCGTAGTTTTCTATCCTCATGGCCAGAAGCCCTTTAGCCAGTTCCTGGACTGCCCCAGTCTCTTCCTTCTTCCGCCGCCGGGGCCGCACCACCTCTTCCTCCTCAATCACCCGGTCTGCTTGGATCAGGTCAGCCTCCTCTGCGATCTCAATCAGAGAACCCTCCTCTTCCCCTTCTTCCTCCTCCTCTTCCCCTTCTGCCTGGGCTGAGAGAGGAAAACAGGCAGGACAGGAATGAAGACTCCTGAGCCAAAGGATGAAAGAGGGTACTGACAAGAACTTAGATGAAGACATTCTCAATAAGGTTTAAGTGGTTACCTCTAGGGAGAGACACTGGAAGGAACCAGTGTTAGGGGACAAAGACTTAAGTTTCCTTATATACTTTTTCGTTACAATTTTATATTACTCATTCCCCCTTTAAAAAAATCTTTACCACTCTGGCCAGCTTGGCTCAGCAGTTAGAGCATTGGCCTGAGGACCAAATTGACTGGGTTCAATTCTGGTCAAGGGCACGTACCTCAGTTGCAGTTTGGTCCCGGCCCTGGCTGTGGTTGTGCAAGAGGCAACCAATTGATGTGTCTCTCTCACATCGATATTTCTCTCTCCATACCCCACCCCCTCCACTCCCATTCCATCTGAAGATAAATGGAAAAATATCCTCAGGTGAGGATTAAAAAAAAAAATCTTTACCACATACAGGGAGGGACAAAAGTAGGTTTAGAGTTGTTTGTATGGAAAGTAATACAATAATTAATAAATAATAATGCCAAGAATAAACTGTGTTTTGTATACTTACAACTGTATACCTACTTTTGCCCCACCCCATACATATTTAATGTATATACACCTCTAAACACCACACTGTCTAGTCATAACTTTTTTGAGCTCTATTTAACTGAAATCACATTGTATATATTTTCCCTTAACTTGCCTTTTTCATTCAGCATGTTTTTGAGATTCATACATGTTGCTATATATCCTACAATTCCTTTTCACTGTTGTACAGTATTTCATCATCTGAACAGACTGTAATGGACCCATCCATTGTACAAATGTTGAAAGACATGCGTTCCTTCTGTTTTTCCACTATCATGAAGTGGTCATGCCAATTACTAGCCCCACTAGCAGTGTATCAGAGCTCCCACTGCTCCACGTTCTTAGCAGTGCAGGGTTATGTACAACTTTTTAATTTTTGCCAATCTGGTAGGTGCACAATACCTCATTGTGATTTTAATTTCTCTAGTTTCTATTGAGCACCTTTTGTATGTTTATGGACTATTAGGATTTCCTATTTTCTGATGTGCCTGTTAAAAGTGTTTTATCTATTTTCCTACTAAGATATTATTTGTCTTTTCTGATTGATTAAAGCTCATTACATATCCTGGGTATTACTTTTAAGTTCCGCTCTTCTGGTCTTTACCATATTCCATCTTACGACGTGATTCTAGACAGACACACGTTTCTTACCTATGCTTTCAGGTCCAGCTGGAGCAATACTTTGGGTGAAAGAAATGACACCCAGACCCAGCCACTCCAGCATCATGGAATGTTTCCAGCTTTGGAAGCAAACCCATTCATTATCCTGGAAGGAAGAATCATCAGTCATGAGAATTCTATGACAACCAGTGTGAAGGAAAGGTCTCCTTGATGGATCAAAAGTAACTTCCTAAAATTTAGAGGCTGCAAGGTGGCAACCCTTGGACAACTGGATCATTTAATATGACTTGCACAGAATTTTACAAATACCCTGCCTCTCTTCACAACATCAGGAGCGATGGCGGCAATGAGGCTGCATTCCTGAATGGCAACAAGTGGCTTGAAGTGGGGTGCTGCCACCCATTTCCCAGTCTGCACCGTCCTCTCTATTTTCCATTGTTTCACATCTAGCCTGCTTCAGTCATTTCCACCACTTAACTGACCCCTTTAGGCTTTCCGGTTTGTAACCCTGAAATGCACCAACCCATTATTAATAGAGGTACCATTCTCACTAGGCTCCCGGTCAGCCACTTTACAGAGACTGTGTTAATTCTCATAATATTTTTTGAAGGTACGCATTATTATTAATCTTGTGCGACTGTTGAGAGATCTGAGGATCACATTGGCTAAAGTCACACAATCAGCCTGTGAGACTTAGGTCTACTGACTCCAGGCTCTCTATATGTGCTAGGTTGTCTTATTATAATATTTCATTTAACAAGCACTTATAGCACACTTATTAAGAATTTATAAATATTAACTTGTTTATCCAAATAAAAATCCTGTAAGAATTAAGTTGATCAGTAAGAAAGTCCACTTTTGTAAGTCAAATTCACAAAAACTGGCAATATCATATGGTTTAATTTGATGTTATTATCCCCACTTTAAAAATGAGGAAACAGGCATAGAAAAATCAAGTAACTTGCCCACAGCAAAACCAGGATTCCAACCCAGAAGGTTAGTTCGAGTCTTGTTCTCGACTGGTATACTCAGCTGTCTCTCCTCATGAAATGGAACTTCTAACATTATGGCAGCATCAGATTACCAAGCAGCTAATACTTTGGACTACTGATTCCACTGAAGGCTCCTTTCAAGTACTGAGTCAAGACAGATGCTTCCACCCTTCCACGCCCCCACTCCCACCAGGATGACCCCTACCTGTATCGGCCCATTAATCAGGCTTTTCCAATGCTGGGAGGAAATGTACTTCTCCAGGTGTCGTTCCTGTACTATGCCTAGCATGGTGCACTCCAGGGTCTGGGCCCCTTTACACAACTCTTGCTCTGATTCCTTCATTTGTGTCATGATCTGCCAAGAACAGTGGTAAAGAAATGATGAGGAAGTAACATCATCCCCCAAACTCAGTCCCTGCCTTGAGGGAAAACAGAACGAAGATAGGAATAGCAAGAAGGGAGAATAAAGAAATAGACCAGTCAGTCAACAAACCAGTTTCCCAAAGCACATTACTGTGGTCTTAAAGCCAAAGGTTTTGTATCTAAAATGTCTAAGACCCCTACCAATCAGTCAGGAAACAAATAATACAAAGAAACACAGGCCAAAAATACATACTGTGGTGGAGACTTCTCTTTTTCCTTGAGTAATAACTCAGAGTTTTGGCTGGGCACATGGCTGCCCAACTAGATGATCAACACAGGCTATAGGTAGAAGTGCTGTGGATGGTTTGGGGGAATCAGCCTAAAGTCCTGGCAGGAGTTGGGAGGGGGCAGTGCGCCCCCTTTTGTTCTTTCTCCACCTTGAACTATGAGGGCGAAGGTCATACCACAGTATTAACAGAATGTAACGCTGGAATAAACCTGGGTCCTTCACAGTGTTGTGGAGCCTCCCTATCTGCCTTGGGCTGCCTACCCAGAAATCCAGTGCTGTCTTGTTTGGTTCCCCCTTGAGCTACCTCCAATATCCAAAGCTGGGACTTACACTCATGTAGGCCCTTCGGAGGTGCATGGGGAGGTTTCGGCGGAATTCCCGCTTGTTCCTCAGCTCCCGCAGGGTGAACTGCTTCAGGATGTCACTGCTGCTCCTTCCGCCTACGCGCACGATGCTGGGCTTCTGGCACTTATAGATACCTGCGGAGAAAAGCGAAGCACAGCAGAGTTGAGAGGAGCTATGCTGGATTCTCTCTGGTGACAACTGTATGTGTTTGGGGTGTTGTGTCACTGAGTCCATTAGGGAACAAAATGGTACTTATAGGAAATCTACCCTATTAATGAGCAAGAAGGCTCCAGAGATGATATGACCTACAGAACAGTAAAGTGTGGTGCTTAAGAGCACAGGCTTTAGAATCTGACAATTCAGGACTCAACTTACTGTCTCCACAACTTATTGCTATGTAACCTGGGGCAGGTTACTTAACCTGAGCCTCAGTTTCTTCATCTATGATTTGAAAACAGTAATGCTTTCCTTATAGGGCTACAGTCTGTATAAACTAGAGAATATCTTTATAGCTCCTAGGTAGGGCCTGGCATAAAGTAAGCTCTTAACGAATGCTCTCTATTATTCATTCTACATATATTTACTGATTGCTTATTATGTGCCAGACATATGCTAGGTTCTGAAGATTTAGCAGTGAAAACAGCGACTGTTTCTAATTTATTCTCATGTCTCACAGTCTGGCAGACAATATACACATTAAACAACTTAACACTACAGTGAAAATGCAGTAAGTACTATAAATACATGATGCTGTAAGTATGTAACAGGGGACCTTACCTAGTTTGGATGAGGTAGGGATCTAATTCTTGAGGATCTAATACTTAAACTGAGACTCCAAGAATAAGGAAGATTTAATCTAGGTGAAAGGAGGATAGAGAAGAATGGAAAATAATATTCTAAGCAAACGGGAAAACATACTTATTCATTTATTAATGCAATTAGTATTTTTTCAGTGCCTAGTATGTGCCAGAATCTGTGAATATAGCAAGAAACAGGACCAACCCTCAGTGTTTATCTTTATTTATTTACTTAATTAATTAGTTAATTAATTAATTAATTTGTGTTTTTCTGCCTTGTTGAAACAAGGCCACCAAAAATTTGGTTGCCTCCCACAGAAAAAAAATGGGAGACAGAGAACATGACTTACGGTGTTTATAGTCTAGGGTAGATCCACATAAAAATAAATTGTTACAGTCTCTGAAGAAAATACACAAAAGGAGAATTAACCTTGACTTGGGGCAACATTAAAGTGCACCTGAAGAGAGATTTAAGGTGAAATCTAAAGAATCAAAAGAGCTGGAGCCAGCCAGGCTGGATGGGGACAAGATAGAGAAAGAGGTAGAGAGAAAAAATGTATACTCTAGGCAGGGGGACCAAGAAAGAAGCTGAGGAATTCAAGGAATTAAGACATTGGGAAGAGGTAGGAGATGAGATTCAGAGTCAGGCTGGAGCAGATGACACAGCCTTACAGGTCATGGTTAGGACTGTGGACTTTCTTCAAACAGCAATAGAAAGCTACTGAAGTTACTAATGGTTCAACTATAAATGTCTTGATAGAGAACAACTTTGTGTACAGACATTACCTTCCAAAAACTGATCCAAAGCATGATTAGTGTAACACACAACCAAGATGGGGAAGTTCTGGCGGCTAATTTGCCAAACAGGATCGTTGGTTAGAAGGGCCTGAACAATTTTTAGACCCACATAAGTTTTGCCTAGAAAACAAGAAAAAAAGGTTAGAAAACTTAGAGACTTACTAAAATGAGTAAGTATAAAAAATTATTATTATTAATTTTTTAAATCCTCACCCAAGGGCATTTTTCCATTTATCTTCAGATAGAATGGGAGGAGGGAGGGAGAGAGATCGAGAGAGAGAAACATTGATGTGAGAGAGACACATCGATTGGCTACCCCCACAAGACCCCGACTGGGGCCAGGGACAGACCCTCAACCGAGGGTAAAATTATTATTATTATTTTTTTAATTTAAGGTAATATACTGAGGTGGCTTAAAATCCAAGAAACACAAATGAGTATATTATAAAAAGCCCTCTCGCTCTTCTGTCCCGCAGCCACCCACTTCCTCTTAAAACCACTGATGTTACCAGTTTCTCGTGTAACTTTCCAGAGATAGTCATTTAATGCATATATAAAAATATATGGCCCTGGCCGGTTTGGCTCAGCAGTTGGAGCGTCCACCTGCAGTCTGGAGAGACCAGGGTTCGGTTCCCGCTAAGGGCATGTACCTCGGTTGCGGTTTGTCCCCGGCCCTGGTTGGTCGTGCGGGTGGCAGCCACTCGATGTGTCCCTTTCACATCGATGTTTCCCTCTCTCTCTCCCTCTCTCTCCCTCCCATTCCCACTCTATCTGTACAAAAAATGGAAAAATGTCCTCGGGTGAGGATAAAAAAAAAAAAAAATGAATATAGTTATTTTCTAGCCTTCCCCCTTTCTTCTTTTAAAATTTTTTTTTATTGATTTTAGAGAGAAGACGGGAGGGAGGGAGAGAGAGAAAACACTGATTGGCTGCCTCCTACATGCCCCCCACTGGGGATTTGGCACACAACCTAGGCGTGTGCCCTGACTGGGAATCGAACCTCCTGTTCATGGGTCGATGCTCAACCACTGAGCCATACCAGCTGGGCAACCATTTCTTTTTTTTAATACAAATAGTAGAAAACTGTTTTCAGTGTTCTACATCTTGCTTTTTTTCACTTAATGTATCTTAAAGATAGTTCTCTATCAGTACATAAAAAGAACGTCCCTCTTTTTTTTGATTTCTCTAAAATCAATAAAGAAAACATTTTTTTAAATTTTTTATTAATTTTTGTTATAGATGTTTCTCATTTTTCCCTCATTGACACCCTCCTCCCATTCCCCCCACCCCATCCCCAGCTTTGTTGTCTATGTTTATTGGTCATGTATACATGCATGTAAGTTCTGTGATTTATCTCTTCCCCCCCAAACCCAGTCTCCTCTGTACCCTACCTCTATGTCTCTGGGTTAATTTTGTTCAAGAGTTTGTTTACTTCATTATATTCCACAAATAAGTGAGATCATGTGATAAAAAAAGTTTTTAAATAAAATTTTGAACCATATTTTTATTAAAATTAATAATGAGGCCCTGGCCAGTTTGGCTCAGCAGTTGGAGCATCGACCTGCGGACCAAAGAGTCCCAGGTTCGGTTCCCACTAGGGGCACGTACCAAAAAAAAAAAAAAAAAAAAAAGTTAGCCCTGGCCGGTTTGGCTCAGCGGTTAAAGCATCGGCCTGCGGTCCTGAGAGACCCGGGTTCGGTTCCCGCTAAGGGCATGTACCTTGGTTGCAGTTTGTCCCCGGCTCTGGTCAGTTGTGCGGGTGGCAGGCAGCCACTCGATGTGTTCCTTTCACATCGATGTTTCTCTCTCTCTCTCTCCCTCCCACTCTACCTGAACAAAAAGATGGAAAAATGTCCTCGGGTGAGGATTAAAAAATAATAAAATAAAATAAAATAAAATAAAATAAATAATGAGCCAAAAATTTTAACCTCACAGATCAGCAAAAACTGATCAGCAAAAAAGAATGATAACATACAATAATGCTGCAAAGGATATAAGGAAATGGGAACTAAATCACTCTTGCTGAGTATAAACTGGTACATTAAAAAAAAAAAATCCTCACTGCCTGACCAGTGTGGCTCAGACAGTGGTTGAGCGTTGACCCACACCAGGAGATCGCCGGTTCGATTTCCAGTCAGGCACATGCCAAGGTTGTGGGCCCGAAACCCAGTGAGGGGCCTGTAGGTGGCGGCCAATCAATGTTCTCTCTTATCGATGTTTCTATCTCTCTCCCCCTCACTTCTACTCTCTTTAAAATCAATAAAGAAAAAAAAATCCTTACTTTAATTATGCATATTTTCTCTTCATGTAAGTGTCTCTCTCTCTTTTTTTTAATCTTCACCCAAGGACATTTTTTTGTATTTATCTTTAGATAGAGCGGGAGGGAGAGAGGGAGGAAGAGAGAGAGAAACATCAATGTGAGAGAGACACATCGAGTGGTTGCCACCCACACGACCCCAATTGGGGTGAGGACAAACTGCAACTGAGGTACGTGTCCCTAGCAGGAACCGAACCCAGGACTCTCCAGTCCACGGGCCGATGCTCTAACCGCTGAGCCAAACCTGCCAATGCTAAGTGTCTCTTTAAAAGTTTTTTAAAAATAATTTTTCTTTATTGATTTTAGAGAGAAAAGGGAGAGAGATAAAAACTTCGATTGGCTGCCTCCTGGGGATCAGGCCCACAACCTGGGCATGTTCCCTGATTGGTAATCGAACCAGTGACCTCTTGGTGCATGGGTTGATGTTCAGTTGTTCAACCACTGAGGCACGCCAGCCAGACTAGGTGTTTCTTATTAGAAAGAACTTTCCATCTGTTACATCAACTTTTTTTAACATGAGTTGCTATTACTTTATCAGTGCTTTTTAAAGACCTCTTCCTGTGTTTTTTTTTTTTTGTATATCCTTTTGGAAGGGTAATTTAGCAGTACCTAGTATAACTATTAATGTGAATTCCCATTTAAAAAAATTACAGAAATAATAAGCACAGTACCCAAAGATAAACACACACAGATATTCATACCCTACAGTGAATGCAGGCACAGTAAAAAGAGTGAGGTACATGTCCGGCCAGTCATGTATGATGTCATCCCATGGACTGAGTGGTCCCACTTCGATCCCGCATCAGGGTACATGCCTGGATTCTGGACTCGATCCCCAGTAGGGGGCATGCAGGAGGCAGCCGATGGATTTTCTCTCTCACATCGATGTTTCTATCTCTCTCGCCCTTCCTCTCTCTCTAAAATATCAATTAAAAAAACATAAACATTATAAAAAACTCTCTAAAAATATCAATGAAAACATATTATGAAAAAAAAAAAGTGAGGTACATTTCTAAATGTAACTATAGTGTAAAGAATGTAAAGATGTCCATAACATGTTATATATATAATAGAACAATTAAAAAAAGCATGATCTCATTTTTGTTATTAAATAGAAAAAAATGTGGTATAGTATGTAGACATATAAATATACATACAAACATGAAGAAATATCAGTGCTAATCTTGGAGAACATCTGGAAAGAGACACATCAAATTGCTAATAATAGTTATCTCAGAGTAGGATTAGAGAATGACATGTGATGAGAAGGGTATAGGGACTTATATTTTCATGAGAAGCAAGTATACTGTAGGGGAGCCAGGACTCCAGAGCCAAAATGCCTGAGTTCAACTCCTCGGTCTATCACTTACCATCTATGTGAGCTTCAATGTATTATTCAAGCTCTCTTTATCTGTTTTTTCATCTGTAAGATGGAATGGTTTCTGCCTCACCGAGTTATTGTGAGGATGCAATAAGTTAACATATGTAAACGATGTAAAACAGTACTCGGCACACAGGGCTATTACTATTACAGTAAGTCCTCACTTAACACTACTGATAGGTTCTTGGAAATTGAGTCTTTAAAGCGAAATGACATATGACAAAACCAATTTTCTCACAGGCTAATGACAGTAAGTTTCTATGGCATATTTCTGGTCACAAAATCACCAAACTTCTAAATAAAGACCTCAAATACTCCTAACAGTAAACACTGAAATAAATGTGAGCTATACATATATTTAAGAAAGGTAAATAAAAACAATTAAGAGAATTCTTTTCGCCCTGGCTGGTTTGGCTCAACAGTTAGAGCATCGGCCTGCGGTCCAGAGAGACCCGGGTTCGGTTCCCGCTAAGGGCATGTACCTCGGTTGCAGTTTGTCCCCGGCCCTGGTTGGTCGTGCAAGTGACAGCCACTCGATGTGTCCCTTTCACGTCGATGTTTCTCTCTCTCTCTTTCTCTCTTACTCTCTCTCTCTCCCACTCTATCTGAACAAAGAATGGAAAAATGTCCTCAGGTAAGGATAAAAAAAAAAGAATTCTTTTTCAACCCACGTATTCCAGTTCAGGGCCGGTGGTGGCTGGAGCCAATCCTGGCAGCTTAGGGTGCGAGGTGGGACCCACCCTGGACAGGACGGCCTTCCGTCACAGGGCCACTTACACACTCATTGAAACTGGTACAGTGCAGACACGCCAGTTCACCTCATGTGCACATCTTTGTGGAATGAGAGGAAATGAGTCCCTGGAGAAATCCCACACAGACACGGGGTGACCATGCAAACTCCACTGTGGCCCTGGCTGGGAACTGATTTTTTTCCTCATCAATATTATAACAAAATGATGTTGAATAAAATAACATTATTCGTAGACCTGCTGTACTTGATGTTATTTAACTGAAAATCAAACAAATTAATATAGCCTTTGATGAAGCAGAGGTAATGCATCTTCTGAAGTTTGATCCCTTGCAATCTTTTCTAACCTTGCAATTTTGGCTTATTACTATGCATACCAATGGGTCTCCACTAGAAAAATCACTATAATAAGTAGCAACTTTATAAACAAGTTTGATGCCCATTTCATGGGAATTTTTTCTTTAATTGAATTTATTGGTGATATTAATAAAATACAGGTTTCAAGTATACAATTCTACAATACATCATCTGTATATTGTATTGTGTGTTCACCACCCCAAGTCAATTCTCCTTCCATCACCATTTATCATCCTACCCACTCATGGGAATGTTTCTAATTTAGACAGTCTAGAAACCTAGAGTCAAGCCTCCCTTCCCTACCTCCTAGAGCAGATGACTTATGTTCTAAAAAATTCTCTCTTACCTGTTCCAGGAGGTCCTTGAATAATAGCTAGTTCCCTTGTGAGAGCAAAATGCAAAGCTTCCATCTGGGAGTCATCCAGCTTCAGGGCTTCTTTGGAGGGCCACTGGCTGAGGTCTAAGACATTAACTCTGGAATGTCTCAAGCCCTCGGCATTCCTTAGAGATTCCCCAGTGGCTGAGGGATTCGTTATTAAGGGAGTGAAATCATATCTGCCTCCCATTAGCAAGTAACTTGGTTCCCTCACATGAGAGTCACACTCCACAATGTTTCTTTGGAAGGGGACATCTTCCTCCTGGATCTCCTGGAGTCCTTCGAGGACATGCCTATAGGCCTCAAAGTATGCAGTTGTCTCCACCATGAGGAAAGAGTCAGAGGGCTGGACTTCTGCTAGCAGCTGTTGACTCTGTTCATTGAAGCAGAGCTGGACAAATCCCCGGCAAAGATCCTCCTGCTCCCGGTTAGACACTGTGGCAAAAAGAAATGTCTCAAAGTTGTCCTTGGACATGCACACCAAGGACCCATAGAGCAATCGCTTGGAATTCTGCCAGCGAACATACTTCAGTGGTTTTGTGTCAAACTGTACCTTATACACAATGCCTGATGATGAACACACAGGGGTGATAATCCTGGTATTAAAGTAGATTCGGATATCATCAAACTTTTTCTTCCTCAGGCCTTGGTCTTCAAAGCTTTGGAGAAGTTCCAAAATGCCTTCTCGTAAGGGTCTGACAAAATCTTCTCGAAGTAATCGGAAGTGAGTATCCAGATAGACTGCAGTGCTCTCGTATTTTCCAGAAATGATGTTGGGGCGAAGGAATGGCTTCTCATCCAAGTGCACCTCATTGTAGGTAGGGTAAATGGGCATGGTCCGGTAGCTGTCAACATGGTCTTCTGCCTTAGGTTGTACTAAAGTGTAGGTGTCCACTCTTAAAGTGTCCTCTCGCCTCTTTTCCTGCAAATGTTCGATGATGGTATGAACCTTTTCCAAGTTCTTCTCAGTCTCCTCTTCTATGTCAACACCAGAGGCTCTCAAAGCATTAAGAGAAGCTGGCAGGAGGGAAATGAGCATGGAAGTTTCCTGCACAGAGCTGGCAGGGAAGACACTTACAAGGTCCTGGAGGAGAGAGATGATGTTGCTAATGTGTTCTGGATACTGGTTTCGAACATCAGGGTTGGATTCAGTGGCCATCCTTACCACATAAGCTGGCAGGCAGACTCTGAGGAAGCTTGAGTTCTTCAATATGCCAAGGACATGGAGAACACTCTGGCGATCCATTCTGGAACTGCAAGCCTTTCGAAGAACCTGGCAAATGAGCTCAAGGAAGTTGGGTTTCATATAAGAATGCGAGAGAAGCTCCTTCAGTCCTAAACTTGTGGCAAGTGTGATGACCACCTCAGAGGGGTCTTTATGCAGAAGACTTTCTAGAAACTTATAGCCCAGTTTCTTCACCTGCTGTGGCTGTTCTGCAGACTTCTGTTGGGGGGTCCGCCGCTGTTGGAAGTTTTCATCAGCCCATGGTGGTCTGCGGTTCCTCCCCTCCTGATTGCCATTTCTCTGCCTGGTGTCATTCTCCTGACCATGTCTTGGGCCTCTAGGTTCATCATTCGCGTGTCCCCCATGGTTTCTCCTTTTCGGGTGTGGGTTCCTTCCCGTGGCCGCAAACATCTCTTCTCTTTGCCAGTGAGGAACAGGATGGTTGTTGGTTCTAGGATGCCTTCCCAGCTGGTTGGCTCCTCCTCTGAAAGCATGGGCTGGTGGGTTATTGGCCAGATTTCTAGCTCTTGGTGGTAAATCACCATCAATAGGTCCTAAACACAATGGGAATATTGGGTAAGCACAAAAATCAAGGTGCAAAGAAACTACCGTAGGACAACAATGAACACGTTCTCATTTTCGAGAACAACCAAGGAGCTTAGGTTTTATTTGGAGAGAACTAAGTCATGTACTAAATGTAAAATAGATTACTATGCTGCTGTCTATACTGTAAAAAAAAATTATTTCAGGGTGCAAAAGGGAAAAGGAATAGACATTTGTTGAGTGCCTAATACATGCTAGAGAATAAATGCTTATAGTATATCAATTAATCATCATAAATTGGGATTATTGCAGAGGGTCAAAAAATCAACTCAGCCCTGGCCAGTATGGCTCAGCGGTTAGAGCATCAGCCCTTGGACCAAAGAGTCAAGGGTTTGATTCTGGTCAAGTGCACATACCTCGGTTGCAGTTTGGTCTCTGGCCCTGGTCGGGATTGTGTGGGAGGCAACCAGTCGATGTGTCTCTCTCACATTGATGTTTCTTTCTCTCTCTCCCTCCATCCTACTCTATCTGAAGATAAATGGAAAACAATCCTTGGGTGAGGATTAATAAAAAAAAAGATCAGCTCATTGCTTCCAGTTTCTTTCCAGTACCAAACAATAGTCAGCATGAGTTGCAGAGCCAAATAGACCTACTTTTAAACTTGAGCCAGGCACTTCCTCACTGTGTTACGTTTGCCAAGTTACATAATTTCTCTAAGCCTCAGTATCTGGGTTGTTGTAAAGATTAAAAATTTATAAGATACTTAGTATATAGCCCTGGCCAGTTTGGCTCAGCTGTTAGAGGGTCGGCCTGCAGTCCAGAGAGACCTGGGTTCGGTTCCCGCTAAGGGCATGTACCTCGGTTGCAGTTTGTCCCCGGCCCTGGTTGGATCGTGTGGGTGGCAACCACTCGATGTGTCCCTTTCACATTGATGTTTCTCTCTCTCTCTCTTCCTCCCACTCTATCTGAACAAAAAAAATGGAAAAATGTCCTCGGGTGAGGATAAAAAAAAAAGATACTTAGTATAGTGTAGTACCTGACATATAAAAAGCTCTCATTGCCCTGGCCAGTTTGGCTCAGCAGTTAGAGCATTGGCCCTGGAACCGAAGGGACGTGGGTTCAATTTCTGGTCAAGGGCATGTATCTGGGTTGCAGGTTCAATCCCCAGCCCTGGACAGATTGTGCGGGAAGCAAGCAATCTGTGTGTGTGTGTGTGTGTCTGTGTCTCTCTCTCTCTCTCTCTCTCTCTCTCTCTCTCTCTCTCTCCCCCTTCCTCCCTTCCACTCCATCTAAAAACCAATGGTAAAATATCCTTGAATGAGGATTTAAAAAGAAAAAAGCTCTCATTAATGTTAGTTATTACTAGTAGCACTAGTAGTAATTTTCTGTTGGCCTATCATATTGATTTTTAGAGCCATTGGTTCTGCCATTAAACAATTATATCATAGGCAACAGAGGCATCAAATGAGACAAAACTATAACAGGAAATGCTTCTGAAACTTTGCCTAGCATCAGATAGCAAAAGGGAAAGTGGGGCTTCCTTTACATATTTTTGAGCTTATTAACAGACTGACTGTACAGGATAATGAAAAATGAAATTTGAGTTTTCTTCCTTTCTATCGCACAAGTTCATTTACATAGTATTTATCTATTATTATACCTCAGAAAAGAAAGTGTGGAGGGGAGGGAGATGACATACCCAGTACACACAGAAAAAGTTAACATCACCCAGTGGATGAAACCGAACTTGTCTTCCTTGATCTGCCATACATTTCATAAGTGACCTTGACCCACACACCCACGTTTAGTTTCACTTTTCTTTCCTCTAAAACTGATTCTGGAGCTGACCCAACTTAGTAGAATGACTCGGAGATTTTAAAAATGAACAAACAAAAACTAAAGCTGTATAAAATGATTTGATGATAAAAAATGTTGTAAAGATGTCAAGTGCACATCATATTCAAAATGATCATTTCACTCAATGACATCAGATGCTAAATTCATTTATGTATATTTTTTCTTGTTTCACAGTTTTTAGAGAAAATTTTAATGTGAAACATAAAGGATTATTTGGAAAATGTAAATACTTCATACTACTAAACTCTAAATTTTTATAATTATTACTTTCAAACTCCCAAGATAGCAAAAAAAATCCCATTTTTAATATTTTGATCCATTTGGAAAATTAGACATTTTGGAAGAATGGAAAATTGTATCATATTTCATTCTTTCAACATGCACGCAGTTCATAAAATAAAATTCTACAGTCTTCCTCATTTGTTCCACAGCTAAACTCAGATGACATATTGCAAACTTAGAGAAAAGTAAAAATTCATTTGGTTATCTTGTTTTAGAAAGTTCTGAGCAAACAGAACAATTATTGCAGTAAAGTAATGCTTTTGAAACTAACTTTGCTTTGGTGGCTAAGACTCTAGACACATGCTACCAAATATATAGCCACTACCTATGTGTGGCTACTATGCATCTTAAATGTAGGTAGGTAGTCGGAATTAAGATGTGTAAAATAACACATGGAATTTTGAAGACTTAATACCAAAAAAAGTTAACTATCTCATTAACATTTTTTATATTGATAAAACCTTAAAATGATAATACTTGAATATATGTGAGGTAAATAACATCAAAATTATTGAAGTACTATGACAATAAAATATATATTCAATTATAATAAGGTGATATTTGAATATATTGGCTTAAATAAGACAAGTACTAATCATTAAATTTTATTAAGTTAGTATTAAATTAAGAAATTGGATTTCTGCCTGGCCAGTGCGGCTCAGTGGTAGAGCATCAACCCATGTACCAAGAGGTCGCCAGTTCGATTCCTGGTCAGGGCACATGCCTAGGTTGTGGGCCTGATCTCCAGTGGGGGGCATGTAGGAGGCAGCCAACTGATGTTCTCTCTCATCGATGTTTCTCTCCCTCTCCCTCTCCCTTCCTCTCTCTAAAAAATCAATAAAGAAAAAAAATTATTAAAAAAAAGAAACTGGATTTCCCATTTCTATTTTTAAAATATATTTTTATTGATTTTTTTAGAGAGAGAGAGGAAGGGAGAGGGAGAGACAGAAACATCATTGGCTACTTCCTGCACACCCCCTACTGGGGATGGAGCCAGAAACCTGGGCATGTGCCCTGACCAGCAATCTAACTGGTGACCTGTTGGTGCATGGGATGATGCTTAATCCACTGAACCACACTGGCTGGGCTCCTGTTTCTTTTTGCGTTTTTTTTTTTTTTTAATGATGTTACCTAGAAAAACTTTATTTTATTATTATTATTTTTTATCCTCACCCAAGTACATTTTCCCATTTTTTTGTTCAGATAGAGTGGGAGGGAAAGAGAGAAACATCGATGTGAAAGGGACACATCAAGTGGCTGTCACCCACACGACCAACGGGGGGGGGGGGGGTGGGCACACAAACTGCAACTGAGGTACGCGCCCTTAGTGGGAACCAAACCCAGGTCTCTCTGGACTGCAGGCCAATGCTCTAACCGCTGAGCCAAACCAGCCAGGGCCCTAGAAAAATTTTAAATTACATTTTTGGCTTTCATTATGTTTCTATTGGACACTGCTGCTCTAAACGAGAGCATTATTTCCATCTCTGACACCTTCTTACTATCTTTGTTTAAGTGTACCCATTCATCAGCTCTCTTAGGGAAAAGGGTAGGCTGTTTTTCACACTGCAGCTAAGAAATATGCCATTCTTTTTTTCTTTATCTTCACCCGAGAACATATTTCCATTTTTTGTTCAGATAACGTGGAATGGGAAGAGGAAGAGGGAGAGAGAGAAACATCGACGTGAAAGGGACACATTGAGTGGCTGCCACCCGCATGACCAACCAGGGCAGGGGACAAACTGCAACTGAGGTATGCGCCCTTAGCGGGAACCGAACCCAGGTCCTCTCTGGACTGCAGGCCAATGCTCTAACCACTGAGCAAAACCGGCCAGGGCAGAAATATGCCATTCTTTATTTGAGAGATGCAGTCAGTCTTAGGTGGGCCTGCTCATTCATTGGGAACTCAGTTTACTTCCCATTAGTTAGAAAACCCTGCTCACCTCTGTAGTTGGTATGGGGATTCCTGGGCCTGACATCCGGACAAGCTCTTCTGTCCTCCATGTTTGAGTCACTGAAATTCCACCACATTAACGTTCCTTGAAGTTACCTGGAAATCTGTACAGGTTGAAAGGAATTAGTGCCCTTGAAACACTGTATCTAGCAGAAAAACCCAAAACAGCAGTAAGCCAATCCTTCTGCCTCTACATCTTAATGATTTGTTAACTAAGATTTAAACAAAGGTTTTAATCATGGACACAATGTTAAACTCAGTAAGTACCCAATTATGATATAAAAACATTAAAGTCCCAATTTAGGTGATTTCAAGAGGTCAAATTCCCCTCTCCTCTTTGCACTTTCTCAGGGAGTGCCGTTAGTTCCCATTCAAAACTACTGTTTGGTTTATGCCTTGTAGCCAAATTACTTAATCAGTTGCTAGGTTTCATTTTCCTCTTCTATAAAGCAGATAAACATTGTAGCCAGGACAGAAAGAAGTATACTTTTCCTTAATCCAAAAACCATGCACGTATCACCCCATTCAGCATTTATATTACATAGCATTCTATATAGCTTACACTTTGTAAATAATTAAGTTATCCCTTATCCTACTCTTTGGAATGCAGCCAAACTGACTAAGCCCTGGCTCTGGTGAATCAAAAGAAAGAAAAATACATGTTTCAATTATCAGGAGGCTTAGCATCTACAGGGCAGTTTCCTCAACCAGCTAGAAACCTGCTTTCTACCTTGATGATTTTTAACAGTGGTCCTATAAGAGGAAGAGGAATCAATCCCCTTTAAGGGAACTTCTCAACCCAAGGCATACACATCCTGTGGGCTGGGGCCCAGAGAACAAGTGGGTGGCTCGGAGTCCTCAGCAAGGGGATTTTTGAGGCTGTCCTCACTGACTTTTTTAAACATTCATAGTTGGAAACTGTGAATCGATTTGGCATTATAGGATCAGTAGCCTTTATCCTCCCCAGAAAAAGGAGTCCCTTCCCTTCCTGCCGTCAATATTTCCTTCGTCATATCAAACCCGGCTCTCATGGCGCAGGTTCAATATTTAGAGTTCTTTTTTAAGTAAGAAAAAAAAATCGTCCGAGGGGAAAATTCCTTCTTCCTTTTGTTGGGAAACAAACAAACCAACACGAAAACAGAACCGTTCTGGGATAAAAGGGATGCAAGGAGAGAAACAAGGAGGGCAAGGAAGGGAGAAGCAGACATAAACAGGAAATGCTAGGAGGAAAGCGGGGAGAGGGGGTTTCTTAGGAACCGAGGCCTGAAGGGCAGGAAGAAGAGAGTCCGTGATGGTCAAGCTGGGCTGGGCTCAAAGGACAGGACGGCCATCTCCAGGGTGGGATGGAGGGGCTGCACCAGCAGCCGGGCTGGGTTCAGGGGGAAGTCTCCAGGGTCCTGAGAGGGCAGCGGGCGCATGGAGGGGCACGGGCACCCCGGGGCCACCCGCCCTGATGGGCATACGCGGGGTCAGGGGGCCAGGGCTGCGCGGGCGAGACGGGGCCGTGGCCAGGCTGACGCGGGGAGGGGCCGGGCAGGTGGGGGGCTGGACGGGCAGGAGGCAGCGGGGTGCTTGCGGGGTGATGGGGGCCTGGAAACGGACGGGTGTAGAGATGTGGACGGTGCTTCGCAGAAGACGGGGATGGACGAGGCGAGCGCAGAGGAAGATGAAGGGGTGTCTGTGGCAGAAAGCGGGGGCAGAGATGGGGGTGGGAGGCCGGAGGTAGAGGCGGCGAGGGAGGGCTCGGGTGGACAATGGGGGCGCCGGGGGCAGAGGGGAGGCGGGGGATGGAGGTGACGGGGGAGCTGAGGGGGGAACGGGGCCTGGGAGAGGGGACAGGGATTCGGAGGTGGAAGATGGGGGCGCTGGGGGAGGAGGGTGATGCAGGTGACAGGGGCGCCAGGGCCTGATGCGGCGGCGGGGTCGCCGGGGGTCGCGGGGCCCAGGGGCAGGGGCGGGGTCAGGGGCCACTCACCAGGCCCCAGCGTCCAGTGGCCGCGGCCGCGGGCAGGTGCTGGAGTCGGGCGCGGCGGGTCTGCGAGGCTGCGGCTCCGCCCGGCGCCGCGCACTTTCGGTTTCCTTTCCTCGCAAACACTGGCGGCGGGGGAAGGGCCGGCGGCAGCCGCGAGGCCGAGGAGGAGGAGGAGGAGGAGGGGCGCTGGCACGGCCGGCTCCCCCGCCCTCAGGCCGGGCAGGCTCGGCTCCCCGCGGCGGGCTCGGGCGGGCGCGGCTGAGGGGAGGGGACTGCGGGGGGCGGGTTAACAGCGCCCAAGGCCTTTGCAAGCCTCAGCCGGCCTCCGCAGAAGGGGGACCCGGCGGGTGTCTCGGTGCGTGCGAAGCGCGACATGGCGGCGAGGCCGACGAGCCCGGGCGGCCCAGGGTGTGCGGGAACGAGGGCGGGCCTAGAGCGGCCATGACAACCATTAGGTATCCTCGGAGACTGCGTGCCCGCCCCGCGCTGGGGGACCGGAAGCGCTCGGGCCCAGTGCGCAGGCGCAAAGCCCCCGTGCTTATATAAAGCAGGTCCCGGGCGCAGCTCGTTCTTTTGCGTCCGCCTCGCCGCCTTCCCACCTCGTCTTGTTCCAGTGAGTCATCCTCATCCGACGCCCTGGGAACTCGAGGGTATTACTGTCTGGTGAGTTGCGACCTACTGTTTTCCCTTCGAGATCTCCATTCCTCCCGCCCCCGCCCGTGGCTCCCTTGCGCGCGGTTCCTCTTGCTTTAATAACCGAGCGGGACGTATTAGTACGTTAAGCGTTGCATACAGTGAAAAGGGAGTTCCCCGGTTATTCCCCGGTTAACAGGTTCATCCTCATAGGCCTTAGGGCCGTGGGGGAGAGCAATTAGAGCCGGAAAAACCTGCGCCCTTCGTACGGACCCGAGGAGTCCTTGGCTGGTGAAAATGATGACTTGACTTTTTTCCCCATCAGATCGACCATGTTGAGATCTCTGAACACTTGCCAGTTACTTCTGATACACCGGCCTCCGCAGGCCCGGACACGTTCTTTTTCTACCGTGGGAAGGTGGTGATTGAGGCCCTTTCTTTGTTGTTTCGCAGGTTAACGTGATCAGAGGGTACAGGATGAATCTCGAAGGAGAGGGTCGTCTCTGGGCCTCCAAGGGAACCCCGTGTAGACATCGAGAACCTTTGGGTTCCTGACCTCGGGTAAGCGTTCTTCTGGCCTGCTGTAGGCACCACGTGCTCAGAGGAGCCTCTTCCTCTGCTGGCCTAACTGGGAAGTGATTTCACGATAGCTCATTTGTATTGAGCGTGTTAATAGGTGTTAAAATGTTTTGAATGCTTTATCGTAATTCTCACATATGTACCTATCAGACCTGTTGAAGTGGATTAAACTCTTTAAAGCTACGGAGGCAAGAAACATCTAAACCTGTAGAGAATTTGAGTTTATTTGAGCCACACTGACTACATATGCCAGGGAACCAAAATCTCAATGGATTGGGAAAATGTACCAGAGCATGGTTGAAAATCGCTGCATTCGAGTCCAACGAGGAGGCAGGAGAAAACATAGTAGGGAAATGTCTAGGATTAGACAAAAGGCAAAGTGCAAAAACACAAAAAGCCCATAGAGATGGTATGTGGGGAACAAGATAATGGGTTCTGTGGTCTGGTGCCAGCAGTTGTGTTTCAAGGAGTAAGAAATGAAAATTATTCAGACATTGCAAAGATGTCGTTATAGATGTATTTTTTTTATCCTCACCAGAGGACATTTTTTCAGGTAGAGTGGGAGGGAGAGAGAGAGAAACATCGATGTGAAAGGAACACATCGAGTGGCTGCCACCCACACGACCAACCAGGGCCGGGGACAAACTACAACCGAGGCACGTGCCCTTAGCGGGAACCGAACCCGGGTCTCTCCGGACCGCAGGCCGACGCTCTAACCGCTGAGCCAAACCGGCCAGGGCTATGAACAGCTCACTTAGGGTAAAGATTTACCTTGGGAAGGAAGCTAGCTATAGGCCTGGGACATGGCTATCTGTTGTGACCTGCCCAATGAGGAATTTGTAATCAGACCATCCTGTGGTTATTTCTGGTCACTGAGCTTGTCAGGTTTGTTATATAGCCCTTTATTGATTTTAGGGAGAGAGAACATCAACTGGCCACCTCCTGCATGCCCCCCACTGGGGATTTGGCCCACAGCCTGGGCATGTGCCCTGACTGGCAATCGAACCCATGACCTGTTGGTGCACGGGTCGATGCTCAACCACTGAGCCACAACCACCTGGCTTTAATGCACTTTAAAACACATTTTGTAGTTCATTCCTTCATGGGTTTTTTTTTTTTTTTTAATTTTTATTGATTTCAGAGAGAGGCAAGGGAAAGGAGAAACATCCATGATGAGGGAGACATTTAGTGGCTGCCTCCTGCACGCCTCCTAGTGGGGAATCAAGCCTACAATCCAGGCACACCTTCATGTGTTTCTTGATAAACAGCTTTCTTATGCACTTAAATTTCCAAATGGATGGATGTGATGACATTTTTTAAAGGAAGGCCAATTGTCTTATTCTGTTGACCTAGCCACTCAAATTCCCACGTGCCTAACTCTTAAGTTCTTGAGTCCAGGATTGATACCCCTAGGGGCAGGACTTCTTGGGGGACATGTTTTTTTTTTAACCTTGCTGTTCCAGGGTGTCCCAGCTTTCTAGCACCTTACATTAAAATGTAGGTTCCTGAGACCTGGCCGATTTGGCTCAGCAGTTAGAGCTTTGGCCCTCAGACCAGTCAAGGGCATGCACCTTGGTTTTGATTTGATCCCGAGCCTTGGGGTTGTGCAGGAGGCCAATTGATGTGTCTCCCCCTCCCTCCTACTCGATCTGAAAAATAAATAACCTCAGGTGAGGATTTTAAAACAAAAAAAAATTTTTAAGTTACATCTTGACACTTGGTCACAACTCTGCACAAAAGCCAAGCATTTCCCCACAGCCCTTGTCAGCCACACGGGCCTATATCATATAAGCTCAGAAGGCAGGGGCATTTGTCTTAGCTGCTGTTTTCTTATTGCCAACAAATGGGACACAAGTGCTCAAATATTGAATGAATTTGTAAGTGTAGAAGCAGACCAACCAAATCTTATGCATGATTCAGGGCTCTCTCTGTAAAGGTCAAGAGCTTTCTACTGGCATATATGATGACTGAACTTTTTTCCCCGGCAGATCGACCATGTTGATCTAACTTCTCTAAGCCAGTGTGTCTGATATGCCAGCTTGAGCAGCTCCTTAATCCCCTACTTCCTTGGGCATCTAGCTGATTGGAGCTTCTGTCTCATGTTTTTCCTCAGGTTTTCTGTTGGCAGAAAGCAGACTTTAGTGGAACAGGATGGATCCAGGAGTAGGAAAGGACTGGTGATGTGCACATTTCTCCTAAGTACCCATGTCCACATGGCTGAATAGACAGAGTCTGGAGAACAGAGGAGGTAATAACTTTTCCATTTAAATATGAGGCTATCCCCCTTGCATTCTATTTTCTGTGATTGAAGTATGGCCATTGCAGCTGATGACATAACTTTTTTCCCCATCAGATCGACCCTGATGATCTAACTAAACTATTAGCCAGTTTTTGTCTGATGCATTGGCTCCGGAAAACTTCTATCCCTGTTTTTACCTTACCACTAACAGGATACCTTTTTTTTTTATCCTCACCGGAGGACATTTTTTTGCATTTATCTTCAGATAGAGCGGGAGGGAGGGAGGGACATCGATGTGGGAGAGGCGCATTGAGTGGTTGCCACCCACATGGCCCCAACTGGGGCTGGGGACAAACTGCAACCAAGGTACCTGTCCTTAGCAGGAACTGAACCCAGGACTCTGGTCCGTGGGCGACGCTCTAACTGCTGAGCCAAACCGGCCAGGGCAGCAGACTACTTTCTTTGTGGGTTTTTTTAAAATGGGGATTGGGTTTGCTCTATGGGGTTTCTTCTCCCTTAACATTCAGGTCGTTGATCTTTGCTTCATCTGTTAACTTCATGCAGGTCAGGAGCCCTGTGTGCCACTGGGCAGAAAGAAAGTAGGTTGATTGCAGTCTGATACTCCCCCTGGTTCAGTCTGTCCTGACAGGTAAGTTTCTGTTACTAGGTGTCAACCCCCTAATAAAATGATTATTAAATGTGCCCAGGGTAGAGGGGTGTTGTTTGCTCACTTGGGAGTAACCTGGGGACCCAGTTCCAAGTTGGGTATATAAAATAGGAGGGGACAATTAAGTCCTCAACAGAAGACTATTGACCTATTGGTACTACTAGGTCTTAAAAGAAAAAGTGTCTATACACCTCCAGTCCCGTTTTTATTATTTATTTTTAAACTTTTTATAAGAGTTTATTTAAGCCAAACTGATGACATGCTGGGAAGTAAGATCTCAAATGCTTCCTCCAGTCCCATTTAAAAAAACAAAACCCCTTTCTCTATCCTTTGTCAATGATCACTTATTACTCTAAATTTAAAATGTTTGCTTTGTCTGTATAAATGCGGTTTTTGCTATTTGAAAGTTACTTTCCTGACCTTCAATCCTTGGACTGTTTAATCCTTAATATCTGTTTATCTGTTCCATATTTAAACACACCCCTATTTGTCTCTAAAATATCTTCTATGCATTGCATTGGCGCTATGCCCCTCTAGAATCAACATAAAAACCTTTTGGTGGTGTGCTCCCAAATTTGTCTCCTTGGCCATTCCCTGTAATTAGGAAGGATTTAGACTGAGGTGGAACATTAACATCAGTTACAACATACAGGCTTCAGTGAGGTGCAGATGTGACAGATTGTCTCAAGAGATAGGAAATCTCCTTGGTCTGGTAATTGATTATCTATTCCATCTGGTTCCTAAAGTTTTTGTTAATCCTCACTTGATATTTTTTCCATTGTAGAGAGAGGGCAGAGGGGATGGGCATCAATTGGTTGCCTCCTGCACTCCCCAGTCAAACTTGAACCTGCAACACTTCAGTGTTCCAGTGTGTGGGCAGACACTAACCACTGGCCAGGGCAGTTCCTAAGGTTAACCACACCCTCCCACATTTTAGAATGAAGTACTGATGGTAATCAGTACTTTTTAGAATGAAGTACTGATGGTAATCTTTTTTTCTTTCTAAGGAGTTTCTCACCGCTGGAGTTGGAATACAAGGCCTTTTGGAAAAGACTGACCCTGTATTTTCATGAAAAAGCATAATATAATTTTGTAGGTTTCCTATCTGTAAAAGAAAAATAAAAAATCCTTTAAATCCAAATGTGCTCGGATTTGGTCATTGGGGGTCAAGAAACACTCAACAGGGTTAATAAGCAGTAACTAAATGTCTAGAGACCTCAAACTTCAGGGGCAGGGGGCAGATCCCAACCCTGTACATTTATGCAGGCATTTCTGAATGGATTGCATATAGGTTCTGTGCTTTATAGGTGATATATGAGATCAATGTGTTTAACTGGAAAATTCCAATGACACATGACTAATCCTTGGGCTGAAGATTCCTGGGCAAATTGCTTCACCTCTAAGCCTCAATTCTATCTGAAATGAGGCTCCGCGCTGCCTGCTTCAGAGTTGAGGTTCAAATTCATGCCTGTAAAATACTTGACCTAGCGCCTTGTGACTTCCACCAGCACTTGGCTTCAAATCTCCATCTATAAAATGGGTATTAACAGCCCTGGCCGGTTTGCTCAGTGGACAGAGCGTTGGGTGGTACAGGAGGCAACCAGTCCCTCTCACTTCTGTTTCTCTCCCTTTCCCTCCACTCTTATCTGAAGATAGATATCCTTGGGTGAAGATTTTATCCTCACCTGAGGACATTTTTTTTTTCCATTTTTTGTACAGATAGAGTGGGAGGGAGAGAGAGGAAGAGAGAGAGAGAGAAACATCGACGTGAAAGGGACACATCGAGTGGCTGCCACCCGCACGACCAACCAGGGCCGGGGACAAACTGCAACCGAGGTACATGCCCTTAGCGGGAACCGAACCCGGGTCTCTCCGGACCGCAGGCCGACGCTCTAACCGCTGAGCCAAACCGGCCAGGGCGGGTGAAGATTTTAAATGAGTAGAACATCTTCCTCTTGTACTGTGAGGATCAAATGAAATCCAGAAAGACTAGTAGTGCAGTGCTTGGTGTGGGTAAGTGCTCAATTAGTAATGGCTATCTTCATCAGTAATGGGAATGAACTAGCACATGGGACAGTTCGGGTCCCAAAGATATTGCCCTGAGGAGGAGGGAAGCTAGTCTAATGGTTAGATGCTGTGTGATTCCATTTACTTGACATTTTGGAAAAGAAAAGTGATGGGGAACATGATCAGTGATTGCCGGATGGGCAGGGGGTGTGAATATAAAGGAATTTGGAGGGTGTATCCTTATTGTGGCTACACAAATTTATACATGTTAAAATTCACAGAACTGAACAAAAAATCAATTGTAAGATAACTAAAAAGAAACTTGGGCTCTGGAATCAGATTTGTGTTTGAATCCTGGCCCTACTGCTTATGAGCCATGTAACAAGTGATTGACATCTCAGCCTCAATTGCTTCATCAGAAAGGGAGATGTACCCACCGTAGGGGTATTTTGAGGAGTAAGTAAACACGTAGAATCTGCTTGGAACATAGAAAGCTCAAATGCTAGCTATTTTTTTGATTCTTTTATTTATTTTGCCACCTAGATTTTGCCTGCCTCACTTCCAAATGTGAACCACACAATTACCAGGCCTGGATCTGGGGTCCCTTCCAGGACTTGCAGTTCCACCCTGTGTCTGCAGGGGGTGCTGTGGACACATTGCTCTAGCCTTTGGAGGAACGCTTCTAACCTCAGATTAGAAGAGGGAAGATGAAGGCCTGGTAGGGGCCTTGCAGATGAGTTTTTTGGATCCTGCAGCCAGCACTTCTGGGATCTACTGAAGCAGCCAAGCCTGAGAAAGGGCGAGTTGCCCAGGCCTGAAGCGTGGGGTGCTGAGCTGCTGACGTGGGACCACCACACTCATGCAACAAAGGAACCAGAAACATTTACCCCCATCCCTTCAATCTAACCTATTAGTAATCAATCTTCACTTTTCCACATTCCCTTCTGTCCCCATTATGTTGCTATCGTGAGGCAGCTACTACCACATGGTGGGAGCTCCCCAGTTTTAAAGGAAGCCAGAAATCCTTAAAATATTGGTAACATTTCAAGTTTATTGACTGTGAAGACTGAACAACTCGTACGTATGGGCCTTATACGGCCCACAGTCCAGTTTGAGACCTCTACAGTTTGAGCTGTGTTCCTTTTAGCACTGTCCTTGTTACTCCTGGGTCAGGAAAAAACATGTGATGCCCAGTTAAATGTGAATTTCAGATAAATAACTTTCAATGTAAGAATATCCCATGCAGTATTTGGAACATAGTTAAAATTATTTGCTGTTTAGTCCTGGCCGGTTTGGCTCAGCGTTTGGAGCATTGGCCTGCGGACCAGAGAGTCTTGGGTTCAGTTCCCGCTAGGGGCACGCACCAAAAAAAATAAATAATGTTCATGACATGTCAAAAAGAGGGAAACATTTATAAAAAAAAATTATTTGCTGTTTATCTGAAATTCAAATTTAACTACATCTGTTCAGATAAAGCCTCGGTGGACCTCATATCTTTTGAGTAACTTTCAAGTTTTCTGTTGACTTGGATTTTTCCTCCAAGGTTGTCTGGGAGGAAATTGGTCTATGGAGTTTCCCAACAGTCAGCTTCCAAAGCCTGGGTGGGTGGAGTTGGCAGATCTCACTGATCACTGAGATCTCAAAGCCCCAATGTCAATTAATTGCAGGTCTGTTTTGACTGTCTTTTATCTGTTAGTTGTGGCAGAAACAGACCATCTTGGGCTTTTTTAAAAAGAGAGAAAAGGAGAAATCTGGATCTTCTTACTTGGCAGACTCATTTAAACAAATGGTCCTTTTGCTCAAACAAATCGGCACCATGGGGCCACAGTTCACAGGTGGTCCTAGTGGGTGGCAGCATTTTTTTTTTCCTTTGATGTTAATTAAAATGACAGCGTGTGCAGTCTGTTTTTCTTTTTTGATTTCAGAGAGAGGAAGGGAGAGGAGGAGAGAGAGAGAAACATTAAATAGTGAGAAACATCAAATGGCTGTCTCCTATATGCCCCACACGGGGACCGAGCCCAAAACCCAGGCATATGCCCTGATCAGGAATCAAACCATGACCTCCTGGTACATGGGACGGCGCTCAACCAACTGAGCCACACCAGCCAGGCCAATCTTTTTTTTTTTTAATCCTCACCCAAAGACATTTTTGCATATATCTTCAGATAGAGCAGGAGGGAGAGACAGAGGAAGAGAGAGAGAGAAACATCGATGTGAGAGAGAAACATCGAGTGGTTGCCACCCACATGACCCCAAGTGGGGCCGGGGACAAACTGCAACCAAGGTACTTGCCCTTAGTGGAAATTGAACCCAGGACTCTCTGGTTTGTGGGCTGATGCTCTAACTGCTGAGCCAAACCGGCCAGGGTGCCAATCTTTTTTTTAAAAAAAATTCTTTTCTTTATTGATTTTAGAGAGAGGAAGGTGGAGGGAGAGATAGGAACATTGATGAGAGAGAACATCAATTGGCTATCTCCTGCACACCCCCCACTGGGGATCGGGTCCACAACCTGGGCATGTGCCCTGACCAGGAATTGAACTGGCGACCTCTTGGTGCATGGGTCGACGCTCATCCACTGAGCCACACTGGCTGGACCAGTCTGGGTGTTTTGTTTTGTTTTGTTTTTATCCTAACCCAAGGACATTCCCCACCCCCCCACCCCCATTTACCTTCAGACAGAGTGGAAGGGAGAGAGGGAGGAAGAGAGGGAAACATCGATGTGAGAGAGACACATCGATTGGTTGCCACCAACACAACCCCAACCAGGGCCAGGGACAAACTGCAACCAAGGTACGCGCCCCTAGTGGGAACCGAACCCTGGTCTCTCTGAACAGCGGGCCGACGCTCCAACCGCTGAGCCAAACCGGCTAGGGCCAGTCTGGGTTTTTTTTCTTTTGTTTTTTTTTTTTAATCCTCACCCGAGGACATTTTTCCATTTTTTGTTCAGGTAGAGTGGGAGGGAGAGAGAGGACCAGAGAGAGAGAAACATCGATGTGAAAGGGACACATCGAGTGGCTGCCACCCGCACAACCGACCAGGGTCGGGGACAAACTGCAACTGAGGTACGTGCCCTTAGCGGGAACCGAACCCGGGTCTCTCAGGACCGCAGGCCGACGCTCTAACCGCTGAGCCAAACCGGCCAGGGCCAGTCTGGGTTTTTGATGTCACTTTTGGCTCTGCACAGGTTGACCTGATGTGTTCTCCCTAGTGAAAATCTTCTAATTTGCTGATTATTACTGGAAAAGCTGGCTGGTGATGGGCCTCAGCTGAGGTCAGAGAAAAGGCCTCAGCCTAATATTATTTGTCAAAGCAGTAAATTTTATCTGATGCCAAAACCCATGTGATGCTTAAAAACTCTCCTGATGCAGAAGAAAACAGATCTTGGATGAGATGCTAAATAAGATGCTAAAGAAAACCATCTGCTACTGGAGCATTGGATTGATTATTTAAATAATTTTTCATCCTGAATCTCTAAATAGCAGCGCCTGGTAGCTTAGCAGGAATGTAAATTCAGGTGGTGAATACAAATCACTGAAAAGATGGCTAGTATGTGGCAAGTGCTCACAAAATAATCTCTATCACTTTTATTTCTAAGCTTTAGCTTTCTTATGGATAAAAATGTAACTTAGGATCCCTAATTTACAGTGTTGGGAGGATAAAAGAAACTGGTTTGTAATTCTCAAGTCCTGTGCCGATATTAGTCAGTGTTTCTGGCTGTGCCATTTACTAGCTGGGTGACTTTGGATAAGTTACTTAACCTCTCTGTGCTTATTTTCTCATAGAAAATGGGATAATGCTAATTGTACTACTTCATAGGGTTGTCGTAAGGACTGTCTACAACAATATATGTAAACCTCTTGGTACAATGCCTGGCACATAAACACTTAATAATGTTTTTATTATAAAATGGATTTTGGAGTTCTTAGCTCTGGATGCAAAATGTGCATGGTAGGCAGCTTCTGCGTTCATTCAGAGGATCTGAATTCAAGGCCCACTTTAGGCACTAACTGACTCAGCCATCCTCATTAATAAAAATTTACCAGTTTTTTGCCCAGCTGGTGTAGCTCAGTGGCTGAGCATCGACCCATGCACCAAGAGGTCGCCGGTTCGATTCCCAGTAGGGCACATGCCCAGGTTGTGGGCC